TCTGGGTATAACTTCGAAAGAAAACCTCTAGACCATTGCAAGAAAACCAACTTGCAGGCACTTCGCTTGAGCCAAGAAACTACTTGAATCTGCCTTGGTCAAGCCACCATGAAACTGCCTAACCTTTGGTCAAAACAACCAAGGAGCTGGACATTGCAAGAACGGACTTGCTGGCATTTGGTTGAACCAAGAGCTTCTTGAATCTGGCTTGGCCAAACCACCATAAAACTGACAACTTTCTCGGCCGAAAACAACCAAGAAACTGTACTATCCTTTGCCAAGTACTGGCTGAACTTGAAGACTGCAAGAAGTATGAAATCTTCGCAGCTTTTCCTTTTGGATTTGGACAGATTTTGTAAAATCTGCTATGCAATATTCAATATTACCAATTTGTGAAGGTAAAATCGAACAAATCAATGAGCTTCACACAAGCAAAAAGCAACTCTAGTGAGTGTCTTCTCCCTAGAGTTTGAGAGCTTCTCTCTCTAACCTTCTACATTGCTTCTCAAGTATTCTCTATTTTAATATTGTCGTATGAGGAGCCTGGCTTTTTTATTTTTTCCCTCTCCTAGCTCTTGACACTGCTGTACAAATTTTATATTTTGTGATAGTTATGGAAAACAAAAGGCAGTGTTCTAAAAAGTTCGTCTAAACGGCTTATGGTGCCGCCTTGACAATGAGTGTCCAGTGGCATTTTATTATTTTTTCTCATATTTTTCTTTTTTAAAAGCCTTTTATTTAACTTTGCTTTCAAGTTTTTAAATGACTTTATACAAAAAGTAAAAAATAAAAACACGTTAAAAAAGTGTCTAGGCTCGTCTAGACTCGTAAAGCTTGAAGTTTGACCATCACACCGAATCACGGTTTATGCTTTTTAAAAAGACGATTTTGAATTATGGTATACACAAAATTTGTTGTACTCACTTATTCTAAACTTTTAATATTTGGCAAGTGCAAGTGCAAATTCAAAGTTTGAGCTTGTTCTTAAAGGCCGCTTCTAATATAATAGAAAATCAAAAAATAATGATCCTTTTCTTTTTTCTTTTCTTTTTTTTTAACTCGTGACTCTTTTTTTAGTCTAAAATTTGGAATTAATGATTTCCCTATATAAAACCAATCAATTGGAATAAAAATTAGAATTTGATTGGTTTGTTAAAATTGTTCTGATAATCAGAGATATAGCAAAGTTTGATTGATATCAGGCAACCATTGAAATTAAGAACAAATTGTACAAAAATCCAATTGTTCCATTACCACTGGAAAACTCTAAAATCACCGTGTTAGATCAAAAACTCATCCCCTACTGCTGGTGAGCAACAGAAATGGATTGGCCTTGGCCAGCTATGGCTAGTCCAAGCCTCGATCTCGAGTGTTGCCTGGTGATCATTCTTGTGATATTGGGATGAGCCACTGATCCACCGGTAATATTTTTCTCAGACTCTCTCTTGACTTTCTTGACTTGGCTGTGAATTGAATGATCATAGCCTTGCTTATTCTGTTGTTCCTCCATTTGCATAGTTGTCAAATGCAGCAGCAGAACTAAGACTCTGTTTGTCACAGGTTTTTTCCTTCCGAGCTTCCACAACTATGCATACAAATTTGTGTGTATAAATAGGTGGGAGGAGAGAAGGTATGTAGAGTTTGGATTGGACTGGCTTGAGACAACAATTTTGACTGTTCTAAGAAAATTCGACTTGTACTAAGTTCATTCTGTCTGAAATGTTCGATTTGTCATTTGAATGGAGAATTTGATTTGATAAGAATGAGTCAAATTAGAGAATAACGCGGTGTGGATCCAAATTTTGGAGTGCTTCGCATTTGAATTTGAATTAAACTTTTATAGTAACAGTTATTATTCCATTAAAACTAGGTGGTCGGTCTTTCACGCTAATTAAGTAATTTAGAGAATGGCCGACAAAATTGGATTATTTATGTTTAAACAGTTAAACCGACGTCTTTCATTAAAAAAGGACGATTTCAACGGTCACACTACGCCTCCCCGTTAAAAAAGACGTCTGCCGCACATGTTTTATGCGTGGGGAAACTCAAAAGGACCGTGCTTCTTGTACACAGGCGTGTAAAAAAAGACGTCTGCCGCACATGTTTTATGGGTGGAAAAACTCGGAAGGAACGTACTTCTTGTACACGGGGCGTTTACACACCCGTGTACACGGTCCCACCCACCCCCTCACATCGGGAGGCGGGACCCAAACGTAGGCCCCGATGTGGGACCTCGCCTCATGTGAGGGGCAAGGTGGGCCCGTGTACAAAGGGCTTTGTCCAACTCGGAATGCCTAAAGTGAAAAGTTTGTGATCCAAGTGCAATTTACCCTTATTTTTAATTCAAATCAAATTATTTTTTTCTTATCTAAATTTAACAAATATTGCATTCGAGAACATATAATTATAAATTTAAATTTAAATTTAGTAATCTAAGTCCAAAAATTTTACGAAAATATTTTATGAACTTTTTAGTTATTAATATGTACAGAAAAAAATTAGCTTAAACTTAATTTATTTTCTTATTACACAATCATAAGAAAAATATAAACATTTTTTTTAACAAATTTAGTTTTACTACAATAAAGTAAATTAATGATAAAATCATTTAAAAATTCATATTTGTCTTAATTTTTTTTAATATCTTGAAAATTTTGCACTGATATTATAATCATTGACCCATCAAGCCAATCAGTAGACCAATAATTTAAGAACGAACCCAACGACTCAATGCCTTGATCAGGTAACCAAATGACCCAATTGACTGGGTTTAATAACTATGCACGTTGTTGAGAATTATAGAACTTAATTCTATTTCATCTAGAGCAATTAATTCAAAGAAAAAAAGATAAATACTCAAAAAAGCACAAAATTTATAGATGATCGCTTCAGTGTAAAAATACATCCTCTCCCAATGTTGCATTAATTTTACCATGATGGAAAAATATTCACAAGAGAAAATCGCGCTTTTATTTTTTCTAGTCTCGCTTTTTGACGATTACAATAAAGTTTAAGGACAGTTCCCAATTTATAATATAAATTAGGGCAAAATAGAATCTTATAAGAGTACAAATTCCTAAACAATCATTAAAAAAATTTTGGTCTGGGAGTTTGCCGAGATCTACCCTGCCCGCATTTCCTTTGGAAGGGACCCAAAAAATGTCGTCACCTCACACCAGCTGCCCCCTTCCAACCCCAATGATGGCCTCGGAGGTCTATCCATGATCAGCTCAACGAAGCAATAATAATAATTAGACTCCACAACTTAACATATTTCACTCTTGGACCAACACAACCCTCTCCTTTTATAAACCAATAATCGGGTCAATTTTAAAAACATAAATATTTTCAAATGCTTTGCCCTAAAGATCATGTACTTTATTAATTTCTCAAGCTCATCGTATTAATATGACTAGGCCTGGGCATGGTTTGAATTAGGTTGGTTTTGAGTGCAACTCGAAATCGAAACTGACTTGATCTGTATGGATAAATTCCAACCCAAACCGACTAAATCCAGTTGTTGAAACCGAATCAAACCAAACCAAATCAAATCGGTTTGGGTCAATTTTGTTTGGTTAATCAATTTCAAATTTGTGCAAGTAAAAAAATTGTCTAGCTATATTGGGTTAAATTTTTTTTCTACATATAATTTTTTTTTCTTGCGTAATGCATATCAATAATATATATAATGTGAATGGTAAAGAATCAAATTTTTCAAAATCATCATATATATAAATCCGACAGTTATCAACAAACAATTACACCAAAATGAAAGCAAAGCTACAATCTAAATTTGAAGTTTACATTAAACACTTTTTCTTTTGATATTTAGAGTTTGGGCAGAAAAATATAGATGATAAACAAATTATTTGAGAGAAAATTATATTTTTGTTCTTATTATTTTATTTTTTTACATTTAAAACGACGAATTTTTAAAATACCTAAGGAAAAAAAAAAGGTATTTGCGGGTTGAATCGGTTAATTAATGGATTGATTGCTTAAATCGAAACCAACCCAACCCGACTATTTAATTGTTAAAGTTAACCAAACTAGGGGTGGGCGCAGGTCGATTCAGTTCGGTTCTCCGAACCAACATTTTCGAGCATCTAGTAAATGGAATCGTCGAGTCCAAATATAATTATGGAACCGTTCGGGTTCGGTTCCGTTCGGTTCTGTATTATAATTAAATTTTTTAATATTTATAACAACATTATATAAAAACAACTAATGATACATTCGAAGGTTTTGAAATGTTAGAGACTAGTAAACTACCTTGTTCAAATGATAACTACAGTCAAAGTTTCGGTCGGCGGAGGTCACAACTTCGATCGAAGGTTACAGTGTCGGTCGACGATTGTATAGGTTTTGAAATATTAGCGAGGCTGCGAGAGTGAGTACGAGAATCGAGACAATGTTATGCACTTTAGTATAGGTGTTTAAGGTTATTTAGTGGATTGGATCTTGTTGGGCTAAGAAATGAAACAATAAAAAGGGTAATTGGGCTAAAAATTAAAAAATTAGAAATGAAACAAATTATTGTGCTAAAAATTTGGATTTAGAAATTATTAATTTGTTTAGAAAAATTAAAATTAAAATAATTTAATTTACTCAATATAAAAAAAAATTAGAAGGATTCGGTATTTATTCGGTTATTCGGTTCTTGGTCTAGAACCGAGAATCGAACCGTACCTGTCGGTTCTCAATTCAGATATTCGTTCGGGTATTTAATTTGACAAGAACCTTCGGATTCGGTTCGGATTCGGTTCGATCGGTTCGGTTCGGGAGATTTGCCTAGCCCTAGACCAAACTGAACCAATTTTTTCGTTCAAGTCAACCCAAATCGGCTAGATTTGATTTGACCGATTTCCTCGATTTTTCGATTTTTTTTCCCACCCTAAACCAGACACACGCCTGCCTTTCCCAGAAAATACAGCCAATCATTGACCCGTCGGCTACTATTTTTCCCTCCTATTTCTTGTCTATACCAGTGCATTTCTATCGTCCACACGCTTCATTTAGTCCTCCATTTATTTCAACATTAACACCGACTTGCCCTTTTTCTTCACGAGGGATTTTCTTTGAACTCACCAGAAATCGGGTTCTATAAATTGGGAGCCTTATTTTCTTTCTTGGGCTTTGTTTTGTTTGAAAAGTTTTTGGTTTTTTCTTCTCTTCTTCCATTACAATGTTAATCAAGAAATTGGTGTCTCTTCCTTCTCGTTCAGGACGACATTTGCAGCGTTACAATCATGGTTGTCGTCTAGTTGTTGGGTATGTATTCTATTCTATAACTCTCTTTCTTGTGGGCTAAGAAATTTTTTTCATGTGGATTTATTTTCATTTTTTGGTATTCTTTGGGAAATTGAAACAAGGTTTATGGGATTTTGATTCTGAAAAAGATGAATTTAAATTATTGCCTTATAAATTTATCCTCTTTATTTCCAAATTTTGTCAGATGTATTCCATACAGATACAGAGAAACCAAAACATCACCTCCAATTCATGGAACCTTAATTGAAGAATTGGAAGTTCTCTTGATTACCTCTCAAAAGAGTCCAAGAATGATGTTCCCAAAGGTACACTTTCATATGCATATTGTAAGAATGATTTCATGTCCTTAAATGTTTTTATTCATTTTTCAATGAAATCATTAGGGAGGTTGGGAAATTGATGAAGATATAAAATTGGCAGCTACACGGGAGACAATGGAGGAAGCCGGTGTGGTCGGCACCTTAGGGGTTAGTATCCATTATTCTTATCGACTACTTTTCTTTCTTAATCATGTCTAGTGTTGTCCTATCCAGTATACAAAACATGACCGGAAGCTTCATTTTGCTCCATTGCATTTGCTTGCAGGATAAATTAGGCGAATGGATTTTCAAGAGTAGAAGCCAGGACACATTTCGTGAAGGCTACATGTTCCCTATGCTGGTCACGGAGGAATTCGATGTTTGGCCAGAGAAAAATGTCCGTCAGCGAATATGGGTGAGTTTTCTTATCAAAGTCTATAATGCTGCTGTGTATCGAGTACTGATGTAGACTATAATCTTTCACAGATGACCGTCAATGAAGCTCGAGAAGTATGTGCACATTCTTGGATGAAGGAAGCTTTGGATGCCTTTTGTTCATTGATTCGCGCATCTGCAAATAAGGAGAAAGAATTCCCTTAGTACAGAATTTCAATAGAACTAAACAAGGAAAGGAAGAAATTGATTATTGCTTAGTTTACAAATGAGGTAGCCATCTTAGCTGAGTTAGCTCCTCCCGAAGTGGAAAAGGATTCATGCAGCTCGACCCATTCCGAGAAACCATGCAAGGAAGTTTGATAATGTGGACTTGTTGTGAAGGTAGGGAGAGCCTATAGAGGAGATGAACAAAATATTGAACTTGATTCTTTTATGTAATGAAATTCATTGATTCTTTCATAATGGTTTTGTTGTCAAATTTGAACTTGCTTCTTGTGTTCATTGAAATCCATATATTCTTTAGGATAGAATGGATATGGGCAATATTGGCGTGTCCGTTGGCTCAATTTGATCCTCAAGTTTGGAAGATGATCCGAGTTTATAGTCGGGAAACATATATTTCTAAAAGGATCGGTTTAAATTCGTAATTGATCTTAATTTAACTTGGTTGTAGATGGATCAGTTCAAACCGATCCACCCACTTTTATATCCCTATTAAAATACGGTTTAAAAGCAAAAAGTAAAATAAAATTCACATTTGATTTCCACTTTTAATGCACCTTGTCAAAAAACTATCCGTTAGATCATATTACCCTAAATGCTTTGATTCTCCACTTCTTCGGAGCTGTGGCTTCCTCTGACGGTGTCACATCACTTTCGCCAACAACTTCCTACAGTTCTTGCTCTTGGAGATATGATTTCATGCAAGTTTGCATGTGGTGCAGTTCTAATTATTGAGTTTCTTTACTCTATCTACCACTTGTAGGTCGCTCACCGTGACTTAAATTACTTTCTCGTAACCAAACAAGCTTTATGAAAGCATCACAATCTCCTTTTACTCAAAATCTCAAAAAACCCAAAAATCCATCCTTCACCGCCTTGCTCTGATACCAAACTATTGACTTTAAACTCCAAAAGAAAATGATTTTATTGATATAAAATCACTAACACAATTTAATACAAACACGCCACTAATAATACCCAAGGAGCACTAATTAATCATACTTATCTATGCACACTTTCTCTCTCACTCATGCATCCACAATACACACAACCACCTTGTATTTATAGGTGTTAATGACGGTGGTGAATGGTTCTAGTATGACGGTGGTGAATTTAGAATCTTAATTTTAGATACATCTATAAATGGTGGTGATAGTAACAGGATTCTTCTAGCATCTTCTAAGGATGGATGCATTCTAGATTTTTCCATTGCACTAATGATGAAAGTCGCTATTCTTCTAGTATGACGATGGGGCAATTGTCAAGCAATTGGTTTCTTTTAGATTCTTCCAGCAATGGTAGAGGAGAGGAAATGATTTAGAGGCTTCCAGCAACTTCTAATTCTTCTTAATATGTCGGTAGTGATTTCTGCAATTTTAAGCAATGATGCTCTCTAATCAAGTTTCTTTCTTTTTCCTTTTTTAAGTCCCCCAAAACACTATTTACAGTCGAATGATGTGTTCAGGTCATCCCAACTAGACCTATCCAACACGTATATTACTTTGTATGCATATCTCCATGTTCAACTCGCAATGCAGCAATACTTGATAGTTAACTGCCACATTAACGAAGTATCAACTAAATTGATGAACTCAGAAGGCTCCATCCAATAATAACTTAGTCCCTATTTGATAGAACTTTTTGAGATTATTTAATGAGATCAACCAATTTATAATCTCAAAACCTTTGTCAAATGGGAATGTTAACGTCTTATTAAATGCTCAGCATCAACAACCACCCACCATACCACCTCCTTTTGAGATTTTACATGTGACACATGACATTCTATCATTTGTCAATTTAAAACACAATAATCTTTTTCATCCAATCATTTCAATGTACAAGTAACAAAATCCATTTTACATACTACTTTGAAATGCAATGCTTCCTATGTAGAAATGTTAAATGAAAAAAACTATCAAGCCGAGTTTACAATGCGAGCTAGCTCACGCTCTCGTGTGAGGCAAGCCAAGGGTGAGTTGGGTCGCTTCAGGAATTGTGGGCTTGATTCACCCTCACCTACTCATCTCTTGGTCAGGCGAGCCAAGTCAGCTAGCTAGCCTTTTGTAGCTCAGTAATTTATTTATTTTTACTAAAAATTACATTTTCACCATCTACGACGAATCTTCTAGCTAGTGGGGGAAGCTAACAAGAGGCTCGTACCACTTGAAGCCCTTATTCTTGAGTATGTTCTTTCATGAAAAAAAATAATACAGTGGAAAATTATTAAAATATCCATAAAATATTATACGAACATATTTCATTCTGTGATTTATGTCAAACAATCTTACATTTTTATACCGATTGTCAAACATATAATTCCACTTTAATTTCCTAGAAAGTCAATTGAAATTGATTAAATATACGAGAATATTAGTGCAGAAGCCGTATAAAATAGCAGACGGCAAATGCAAAGCATATAATATTCGCGCCGGAGAGGCAAATTTCGGCAACTAAAAGGGATGATTGCGCTACTCGTATATTCGGGGAAATGGTGGCTAATGCCCCTCCCCCCCCCACCCCACTTTTCCACAAAGGTCTTTGACCAAAGGTAATGTAAACAAAATTGTTATGGTCGAAAATACCCCCCTCATTTGCAAACAAGATAAGAGAAATAGAGAGAAAAAAAAAAAGTAGTCCGGATCCGCCGCCTACCGACAACCCGGACCTGACCCACTTCGACCAAGACTAGACATACCTCAATCAGTCGGAGAACGCCATTTTCTGGAACATATAAATAATTTCTTTGAATATGTGAAAGTTTGAATGTGTAGGATTTGAATATGAATTAAATTCAATTTTTTTTTTATTAAAATGGAAGAAAAGATCGAATTTGAGGTTGAAATGTTGGAAAAACTGAAAAAATGAGATGAAGCTCGCTGGAAATGGAGTTTTTCGGCGAGCTCCAGGCCGTTACGGAACGGACCAGTCCATTACAAACCATTTGGTCCGGACCCGACAATGGTTCCTTTTTTTTTTCTTGAATTTATTTTAATTTTTATGTTAAAAAATGTAATTAAATATGAAATAAATAATATATATGTTAAGATAATGAACAAAATATTTAAAGATAGATTAAATAGAATTTTAATTTTTTTATTTAAATATATGTTTAGTAATTAAATATATGAAATAAATAATAAATATATGTTTAATAATAAATATATGTTTAGTAATTAAATAAGTTTAGTAATTAAATATATGAAACAAATAATATACATTTTAAGAAAATTAAAATAATTAATTATGGAAACAATTAATATAATTAATTAAAGAAATACTTAAATGAAAATATTAATATATTTTAATTCAAATAAATAATTGAAATAGAGTAATTAAACATGAAATCAATAATATACATAATTAACGAAATATTTAAAGAATAAATGAAATTGAATAATAATTTTCTTACTTAACCAATTAAGATAATTAATTAAAGAAATAGTAAAATGAAAAAACGAATAAAATATTATTATTATTATTCAAATAAATGATCGAAATAGAATAATTAAATAAGAAATGAATAATATACATAATTAACGAAATATTTAAAAAATAAATTAAATTGAATAATAATTTTCTTAGTTAACCAATTAAGATAATTAATTAAAGAAATGGTTAAATGACAAATCGAATTAAATGTTATTATTTTTATTGAAATAAATAATCGAAATAGAATCATTAAATATGAAATGAATAATATGCATAATTAACGAAATATTTAAACAATAAATTAAATTGAATAATAATTTTCTTACTTATCGAATTAAGATAATTAATTAAAGAACTAGCGAAATGAAAAATCGAATTAAATATTATTATTTTTATTCAAATAAATAATCGAAATAGAATAATTAAATATGAAATGAATAATATACGTAATTAACGAAATATTTAAAGAATAAATTAAATTGAATAATATTTTTTTTACTTATCGAATTAAGATAATTAATTAAAGAAATAGTGAAATGAAAAATCGAATTAAATATTATTATTTTTATTCAAATAAATAATCGAAATAGAATAATTAAATATGAAATGAATAATATACATAATTAACGAAATATTTAAAGAATAAATTAAATTGAGTAATAATTTCTTACTTAACCAATTAAGATAATTAATTAAAGAAATGGTTAAATGAAAAATCGAATTAAATATTATTATTTTTATTCAAATAAATAATCGAAATAGAATAATTAAATATGAAATGAATAATATACGTAATTAACGAAATATTTAAAGAATAAATTAAATTGAGTAATAATTTTCTTACTTAACCAATTAAGATAATTAATTAAAGAAATGGTTAAATGAAAAATCGAATTAAATATTATTATTTTTATTCAAATAAATAATCGAAATAGAATAATTAAATATGAAATGAATAATATACGTAATTAACGAAATATTTAAAGAATAAATTAAATTGAGTAATAATTTTCTTACTTAACCAATTAAGATAATTAATTAAAGAAACGGTTAAATAACAAATCGAATTAAATATTAATATTTTTATTGAAATAAATAATCGAAATAGAATCACAAAATATGAAATGAGTAAGGTACGTAATTAACGAAATATTTAAAGAATAAATTAAATTGAGTAATAATTTTCTTACTTAACCAATTAAGATAATTAATGAAATAAATGGTTAAATGAAAAATCGAATTAAATATTATTATTTTTATTCAAATAAATAATCGAAATAGAATAATTAAATATGAAATGA